TCTGTCTTTTTTGCAGTGTCAAAACGCATTTCATTGACTTGCCATCTTTGAAACAGCCATATCTGTTCTCTGTGGTCCAAGATGCTCCTTCCACATGACAGAAAAGTGCTGCTTTTCACAATAAAAGAACAGGCTTCATGTTTTTTAATAAAATACTTCTTTCACATCAGGGCCTGCAGTTGCACCCACATTTGATTTTTTGTGTGTTAAAGGAGCATAGATAATCACAGTGCCTCTGTCTCACATGACCAAAGCACTTTGTGTTTATGGGCCTGTGATGCAAGCCAGTGCAGCAGGCTAAACGGTTTTTAATTTTCCCAACAAGGTTTTAGTTAGGCGGCGGGCAGAGGGGGGAGGAAGAGGAGGTTGACACAGGGAGGCAATGAATCAAACTGAAACATGTTGCCACAGGAGCCTCAAGGTGACCAAATGGAGTCGATTAACTGTCAAAGCTCACCGTTTTTCAAATGACTTGCGGGGGTCTGAGGCGTTACATTTAGATCATCAGACAAGGTATGAAATAAAAAATGATGATTATTAAAGACAAAGAGAGAGAGGAATGGATTCTCCTGTAAAGAACCAGTAACGCTCTATCTGCTCGGCCCCGAGGGCTACAAGGTATATTTGGATTTTGGTTTCCAACAGAACAGGTTTTAATTGCCTTGTTATGAATGGATTCCTTTCTTCTGCTTTTTTGTTTGGTTGGCTTGAGGGTCCATGACAATCAACAAAGACATGTACTTTGTAGTCGTTCTTCCTCCTGACAATGACCCTGCGATTATTCAACAATCCCTTCAGGGCAAAACAAGTTTGGCTTTGATTTCACAGCCCTGGCTTCAACCTTACAACAAGCTTAAATATCACTTTTGATTTGTTAACATTTAATGTGACCTAAACCTGAGAACTGTGGCCAAGTTGGTCCAAATGTAAAGTGACGTCTCAATATATAAACACACAGATAACAGCGACCATGTTTAACATTCTTCTAATTCTTCATGTATAGTGTAAGACATGAATTTAAAATTAAACACTCCTCCGCTGGTAACAGCAAGCTGAACAAAGCACTTAACCTCCAGTGGAGCAGGCGCCAACTGAGGAAGTGTGTGCAGCAAAGTGTGAAATAGGCCGTGGCTGAAAAAAATTACACTTACTCAACTTTTAATGGCTGAGTAAATGTTTTAAAAATGGCTCAGAACCAACATCTGCTGCAATAATTAGATTAAACCCATCTCATCCATCCTGACAGCATAGAGAAGCGAGAGCCGAACGGTTAGAAAGAAACAGGATTGCATGTCAAAAAACCAACCCTGAAGGCTACAGTTTGTGCAAAGCTGTACTAGCAGACTAAATCATCTCTGATGGAGACTGACGGCACTCGACACTCTGCTTCTCCATCACCAGCTACCCTCCTCTGCAAATGCAAGAGTCGCAGGAGCAGAGAGTACAAAGAAAAAGCTCAGGAGAGAAGAAATTATTGATCAGAAAATTTAATCAAACTGTCCAGTATTGCTACAAATTATTCCAAAAAAAAAAAAACTTGTGTAAATGTATTTACATGAGAGGAATACATTATAAGAAAGACACTTGTGAGAATTCGATAAGACTTTTGATATCACTCATGTAGGTGTGACAAGTCGATTAACCTAGCTTCGCTTAAAATGTTTTTTCTATGCTTGACATATCGGGTTAATTGGGCTGTTTTAGAGGTGCTAGTGGGCTCCTCATTTTGGATGGTGACTGGCTACTTCTTCTCCCGTTGAGTCTTTGAGTCCGAATCGATTATTCGTTCACTTACCCCTGCTTTACTATATGGTCTTCTATGCAAAGGACTATAAAGTGAGCTCATCAGGAAAAAGAAAAGTACGCAGGATTACTCAGCGCATTTTCTCTGCGCTGGTGATAATGTCGCTGTCACAGGATTATGACGTAAACAACGTCGGCCGGTGGAAAATCCAACAGTAATTTTTTTTATGTTTATTTTATACTTAGTATTAATGCATTCATATAAAAAACATGTTGAGTGACAATCATTAAATGTAAAAATAAGCATGCAAAGTGTTATGGAATCTTCATAGACACTGACTCTTGTCCTCTCTGGGGCATAGTGCAACAGGCTGTTGTGTTTGGGAAGTGCAAGAGCTTGGCGAAGGTCAAAGCCTTCACTCCTTATGATATGATATGATAGACTGCGTAAGCAGGCAATACTGTCTCCATAACTAGAAAATACATTAGATTTTTTAGGAACAAGCACACCCATAGATTAAATGATCTGTTGGGGTTTAAAGTGTGACTGCAGGAGGGCAGACTTCAGAATATGAGAGAGCATAATGCACAGATGTTGTATGGATGAATTCTGATTTTCTCCTTGACCAAGCTTCAATAAATATTTCAGCATAAAACATCAAAGGGCTCCATTGTTGACCATTGATCAGCAGATTTTCCACAACACAAAGCATGATGGTTTCATGATGCATTATGGGAAACAATAAGTTCACTAACAAGAGTATAAAAATGTCACTCTAAACATTCAGACACCTCTACGCCATGGTGCAACTTTACATTTACATGCGCTTTATAACAATTTGCGTGTGATGAGTTCAATTTTATGAACAGTCAGAAATGCCCTCCTTGGTCATTTTGATAGAATCCAGTTTGTAATGACCTTTGTTGTGATCTTGGCAGGATTACACAAAAACTACTCAAAAGATTTCCATTAAAATCTTGTGCGATCGGAGGGCAGATCTTTGATTCATGGATCAGTGTGTTTATGAGGCTGGTATTTATGAGTTTGTGCAATCAGGTTCAGATCCAAATAATGATCTGGATGTAGTAAAATTAAATGCGGTTTTACAGGGGGGCTGTTTGGCCTTGGTGGAGGTAAGAGCTCTCCAAGTGTCCTTCTAGTTAACTTGTGGTGTTTGTTTACAAGAGAAACCATTAAATTGACACATTTAGGCTAAAAGCTACTGAAAGCTAATCACCTGCTGTCACTGAACTATAATGAAACTATACTTCCCATGGTGTTAAATTAATTCAACCTATTCTGGCCTTATGGAAAGTATTCTAAATCACTGTATGCTATAGAGTGCTTTTGACAAAATATCATGTTTGTGCTTCACATTTTTCCTCTCTTGTGGTGAAAAGTAATATCACGAACTGAGTCGTGAGAGGCTGCATACACTTTATACAGTACATTTTATGACTTCTATTAATGACCGATATTCTTCCCATTGACTGGAAACTGAATATTGGCCACTTGATGTGACAGAGCAATAAAATGTGATTTATGTTTCGAAGGTCTAATTGGCAGTATTTCCTCCATCTGCAGGCTGCACTAGTCAGATTTCTGACATATCTGAAAACCTTAGGAGATATATTCTTGGCTTGAGACTGCGCTGGCTGGTCTCAGGTCATTTGTCTCTGTCTCCAGCTACCACTGAAAAGAGCGCAGACCTGCTTCTGTGGCTCACTGCGTTCTCTCTGGAAATATTGACTTACATAGTTCAGCAGAACAATGCCATGCCCAAAAAGAAAACTGTGAAAGGCTTGTAGATGCAGACGGTTTAGGAACAGCTTGTATCATTTCATCATAAAATCAAAATATATTATGCCATTAAATGTTATGTGCGGTAATTTGATACAGCAATTACTTCCTTTCAATTACATTTTTTATTATTTAGAGAATGACTTGACTTTTCTTTTGCTCCACACGATGGTATTTTGGTCAGTCGCTCCACCACTTTCGGTAAAATGTTAAAAACTGTTTAAATGTCTCCTTAATGACTTTGGATGTCTCTTTGTGATTGAAATGCTATAGTAAAATAGCGGTGGTGTCCATCCAATCATTGGTTAAACCAGTTAAACCACTGAACCCATCTCTCCAGCCAGTCCTGGTTGACATTGATGGAGAGGTGGGGTACATCCCATACAGGTCGGCAGTCTATCACAACATATAGGAACAGACAACCATTCACACTCGCATTAACACAGACAGAAAATTTAGATTGTCCATTTAACCCAAGCTGCTTGTCTTTGGACTGGGGAGGACGCTGCAGTACTAGAGAAAAAACATGCAGGCATGAAAAGAACATACACATCCACACAGAAAGACCCCAGGCAGCCATCAGGTTCAAAAGCAGAACCTTCCTGCTGTGAGCTAATGGTGCAGTAGTGTAAAATCCAGTATTTGCATCTTAAATAAAATCACTTTAGTCTCATTGAAATGATTTAAATGTGCCATTGATTTATTTTCCACACAGTTTAACTTTATAGAATTTATTGTTCTACACACACTCTGTCATACTAACTGACAGTTCCCACCTGAGTGGCCTCCTGTAAACAGCATCAGTGGTCACTTAACTGAGAGCTGGGACTTCTGCAGCCCTCATTAGAATTATTCACAGTTCTGTCATTGCCATGTTATGCAAACATTCAGCACATGTCTGCTCCATAAATCTTCATGCAGTGTCCAGTGTAGGGAATTATCTTAGCACGGAGAGATAACAAGCAAAGCCTTGTAGCTGTTGAGGAAATATTGATTTGATTTGCTCTCTAAAAAGGGGAAATTTATAGATGTGCGCCTTGTTCTCTAGAGAGCGATATTAGTTTCCCCTCAGGAGGACAGGATACTGTCTGAGTGAAGCGTGAAGAATTGGGTCCAGATTCAGCAAGAGCGCAGGCCCCTCACTGAATGTATAACATGTTATTAAAGGAGAGAAAGTTGTTACAGGACTGTTTCTCTTGAAGGTAACCCAAAGCTATCCAGTTCTGTGGTTGCAGGCAGAAAAGTTCTTTCTCGCAGTTCTCTGAGCACCGAGACAGTTGACGACACTAAGCCCTCGTCTCAGTTTCTCTGTTTTCCCCTCAGGTCTCCGCGGTTTTCATTTTTACCTGCATGCTGTCATACATATACATACGCTAATGTTATTTTATTGTGTGTGTTATTATACAGCATTTGGTGATAAATTGTCTTAGCCGGTTCATTTTTTTTTATATTTGCATGTTTATTTAATAAGGAGAGATACAATACAAAGAGAATTGCAATGCATTTCAGAATTTGTAGCAACTATTCATTTCCCACGCCCGTCCTTAGATCACTGTGTAAACAATGCAGTAATGAGGTCTTTATTAGATTCTTGATGTGTTCATTGCAACACTAATGCTAACTTCTCAATGCTTCCTGCAGAAATGTAAAATATACAACTTTCTAGCTATGTTGTCTATATACATGTGCACTACATCTGTTGGACTATTGGTCTTCATGTGGTGAACAGGATGGAAAGTTCTCTCCTAAACACTTTTTAAATTCTATTCAAAGTTAATTTTTTACCTTGGAAACAGTAGTTGACAAAATCTCACTAAAGGGCTTCTTCTGTACCCGTACTGGACCTTTTGATTGTATCACATGATCTTCCTCAGCAGACAGACTTTTAATGTACTTGTACTAATCAATTATTGTTTTGCCAAGTGCAGAAACATTCTTTTAACAGTCTTTTTGCATAACGATGCATCTGTATATTCTCAAGAATTCTGTAATTCTTTTGAAAACATTAAGGACCTGATTTATGTCCCACAGAATATTTCACATCTGCAATCCTAAACATTCAGTTGAACATCCTGACTCTTAAGTGTCCTGGCAGACGATCTGATGCATCTGTGGAGTTTTTATTGCAGCTACAATCAGCTGTGGAGGCTGATAACAGATGTTCAGGATAATCTGTGTTTGGGTTGACAGACAGACTGAGGAGGTACAAGAGGGCTGAAGTGATCAAAACAAGTGTGAGTGTGTGTATGTGTGTGTCTCCTCCACAGACTGACCTCATGCTGCAGTAACTGGTCACTGATGCTTCAGGCAACATATGGTGAGTACTTTGGCTCGGCTGGAGACGTCAGACTGAATCAAGAAGTAGAACAGTTATTCCCAAAAAACAGATGTCAGACATTAGGATTTATCACTAAATTAATCTCAGTTAGAGAATCCATTATAATGCGTTTGTAGTCTGCACTCAAGCCTGATATGAGCCAGTGTGGTGAATGGAGAGGATGCCTGCCCTCATGGCTGACCTTGGCAGGGATCTACATTTTAAATTGTCTCAAATTATATCCCAATTATAAACTAGAGAACCACTGCAGCCAACGACAGACCACAGCTAAAATAGAAACTATGAGAGGCCAGGAGATGAGCATCGTGTGGTGTTGGGAGAACACGACATGAGCCAACATGAGGGCTCTGAACACATCAGAGATGTTCTGCATAACGTTGTTCATCTCAAGTAGGACATTGACCACGTGGTTAATGGATGAGTTTATTCAGACGTCTTTGGAATGAAAAACATTTTCTCATTGCAGAACAATAACCTTGTTTGTGTGTCCTCTGTTATAAACTTATAACGCAAAAATCTGTAACTGTTTTTAGATCACTGTAATAAGGACATTTAATATTAAGCTAATGTAACAGTTAATTGAAATAAAATAATGGAACCCATTTCTCTGTATATTATAGTTCATAAAAAATGTATGCATTTATGTTATCATTAAGTTATATTATAAAAACAACCTTCTCACTTAGTCAAGCTTTTCTTATTATTTAATTTATTTTTGCACGTGGTGAAACTGAACAAGGGCGCCATCATGACTGATGTGGCTCTACCTCATGAGGCTGGTGAGACCCTCTCTCATGGGACACTGTTACGTGTCTGTCTGGGCCAACCTCTACAATAATGTCACCGTGTCCTCGTCTGTAATCCTGTCTTTGCACTACAGATCACTGCTGAACACTCAGGATCCCTGCAGCAATTCATCTGCATAGAAAATGAACAGGATTAAGGCTCAGACAGGTGCAAATGTAACATTGTGCAACGGTAAATGTCAGTAGGGTTGACTTTAACAATTGCACTGTCCTCACACTCATCTAACTTCACATTTTGCGTGTGTTATTGTAAGTTGCCCAAGAAAGTGCATTGCAGAGTTTGGTGCATGTGATAGGTTTAATATAAATAAGAATTTAGTAAACTGACAACCAGCACTCTGTAGTAGTCAATGTGGGTCAGGCACTGTGCCTTTAGTTTATGGACTGAATTTAACTTGACTTCTTCTACATCCTCAGATAAACTACAGCAGCGATCAGCAAATGGGTTAAACTCAAGTCACAATCACTGCCAAATACTTTTGATAATCAGATTTTTTTTATTTCCACATATCAGACTCAGATGCAGATCTCCATCATGGTTATAAAATTCACAGAATGACTCAGTTTGTAAGTAAAAGCACAATATTTGTGTTGTTGCTTCATACTGAGCTGACTGTGTGGTATGAAACATTACCAGTTAGGTAAATCATTAAAACATATATACACCACATACAAACAATGAGGCAAATTCAGTTTCATTTTATGAAAATCATTGACTATAAAATCTTCATTGCAGATGAACCAGGTAGGATGAGCACAAAGCGATAGAAAGTGAGGAGGACTCACTAATGACAAGGAATAATTCTGAAGTAGCTGCAGAAAATTAACAGTAACAAATGGGTAATTTCAAAGTTTACAATGGGCACTGCAGTACATATAATGTTAGTGATTTATTAGAGTTTCTATTATAGTTTTCAAGTCACTTGAGAAATATTTTTGTGTTGTTGATCAGCCCTATGCCCTCAGTGCTTCAGTCAGTGTCTCTGTGCCCAGTAACCTCCAGAAATAATGTTTGCAGCCGCAGCAGTTGTTGGGACATCAATGTCTAAAGCACTGTGATCCGGCCACGAGGAGGTGTCATAGCTGGATGAAATATGTATGAGGCACCGAAAGGAAAGCAACTTGTACTTGTCAGAACTGAACTACCTGCTGTGAACAAGGTCAGCTGCTTCATACTGTGCTTCTCTCTACTTCTCTCTCTTCTCTTTAAGGGAAACTCTTGAAATCATCTGAAGTCTTTGGGTGAAAATGGTAGAATGTTTGCCAAAATATCTTTTTTCAAATGTATTTGAAAATTCATTTGATAATGCATTTTGAAATGCCTTTTTTGGAAATGCACTTGATATTATCATGATGCATATACAGTATACAAAATAGGTACAACATCAGAGTACTTGAATTACCACTGTGTAAAGAGAGACCTGCCTTTGTATCTTGAATCTAATGGTGTAACCAGCTTTGTCTGTAACTAAATAAAGAAGCCCACTGTCCTATCCCCCACCTTCACCAACTGACTCAGTAATGTGAGTCAAACCTTATACCTGCTTTATTTCATCTGGATCGCCACAACTGTACATGCAGCAGTGACACCGAAACACACTGCAGCTAATGCCATGTTTTAACTATTAATCAAATCTGAACTTCAGACAGGGTCTCTACCACAATACTGGTCTGAATCTATTTATCATCCAATTTATTTATTCATCATCCTTAAATAATTGTTGCTTTCATCTGCATGTGGATGATATCATTGTATATTGTGTTGCTGACTGAGGCTTGCTATTGAAAGCCTGTAATTATCTTTCAATGCCCTACAGGCCGCACATATTGATCTTAACTCAGTATTAAACCCAAATAAGACTAATGTATGTTGTTCTCTAGAGCCAGAAGTATTGATTTCAATAGTTTGCGTTGAACCACAATGAAGGAAACGGTTGTCGAGAGAGTCACAGACTATAAATCTCCTGGTATGTGGCTTGATGAGAAACGTACACTTAAGTATCATGTCCACAGTCCTGCCAGTAAACTGTGGCAAAAGTACTGGTAACTTTCAGAGGAACAGGATCCAGTTTTCCAATGATTAGCAGAAAACTGGGTTGCTGAGGCACTTTTCATGTCTGTCTTGGATGTAATGCTGCTGCCTCTATTCTTAAACTCTTGGATTCTGTGTATAATTCCATCCTCAGATTTATGGTGATGTGTGGTCTTCACCATTGTGTCCTTCACAACAAGGTTGGTGGTCCTCTTTGGCACAATGATCTGCATTGGTATAAGTTTCTATATAAAGCCATTATTGGAAATCTTATGCCCTATAGTACTTCAATATTGGTTTAGTCATCTGGACCTGATCTCTTTTGCTCCAATTATCTACTTTTAGTTTCTGTGGCCCCAACCCCTACGCTCACCCCACGATCACACTTTATGGCTTTTCAATTCTTTGCTTTTAACTTCTTAAATTGATTTGTTCAGTTACTTTTTTTCCAATGCAATTATTTTCTCACTTGATCAAAGAGGGTTTCTGTCATTTTAGTTTCACACTGAAGTTTTGATTTGTTCTGTCTGGTAATATCACGATTGACAGGTGAGACTCACAATTGGTCGAGCAAGTGTACTGGATGGACCTCGATACTGCAGCTCCATCAGCAACATCACTTTTAAAGCATCTTCTCTGTGACTATAAATCTACAGATACACGTGTGTGGCTATTTTCTCCACCTACATATTATATTGTCACAGGTAAAAAGCTGTTTTGCACCATAATACCTTTACATGTGTTCGTCAACCACAACAGTCTTTAGATTTATTATAATGGGGGGGTTGTTGTGGTTGAGTGTGAAGGCATCAGTGGTTTAGTTCCTGTCTTGTTCTCTCAGTTTTGTAAAAGCTAAAAGAGCCAGGTCACTGGTTAAAGGGTTACTGCCAGCTCCTCAAATCGTTTTTCAAACAATGCGGTTGCAGTCAACAGGTGTGACAGAAATGCATTTAAGTTTGTACAAGTATACAGACGCTTCCTGCTCACCTCCACCCTCCAGTCTGTCTCGGTCCAGCTTAGTGACAACCAAGGTCGACATTGTGTCACCGGCACAATCAGGCGTCTGCAGGATTTGACTGGGTCTCCACACATGGACCTTTAGGGGTAAAAAACAACATTCAATACGTTTCTAATGCTGAGTCACTGAAAAACTGAGGATCTGCCAAGTTCAGTGCATGCGCTGCAACTTTTTTGCTTAATGTTATTTGAAAAAGTAGTTTTTTTAGTTGTACATTTATTCATTTTACTATCATAATAAAGAATTAGTAAAATAAATAATAGTATTTCACATTAAAATCAATAAACCACACATTTCTTGGGGGTGCAATGTTATCCCTGGGTTAGGTACAGACACTGTATGGCAATGGACGATGTGTCTCCACTTAGCGTCCCACTGTCCAGAAATGAAGCCAAACATGCATCTTATGCAGACTGCGCAGTACTGATACACGCTCAACCAATCATGAGACAGTCTCAGCTGAGGTTTCACCCCATTTTCACAGCATCAAAAAACACATTTCCAAAAATAAACATTTGAACAAACATCAGTGTCATAAGAACCACTTAAAATGTAACATGTAACACAGAGGACGCTCCTTTCTCATGCCTTCTAACCACACTGCACTCATTAGTTTCTACACATGTTCATTTTACTATGACATACTATTAGTTTTGTAACATTGCATAACTTACTATCCACATCAGAGTACATATATGAAAGTAAACACAAGACCATGAGTTAGTTCAGATTTCTTTTATTAGGTTGCATGTTAAAGCATTATTTGATTGTTCTTTTAGTCTTACTCACCATGTGCTCCTTTGACCCACCATGCAGGACAGTGTTTGAGAGAGAACTGCCCAGCACTTCCTGCTCTGAAATACTCTTGGTGACATCACTGGGACAAACCAAGTGACAAAGGTTTTCTTTTCTTCAGGAACATTTTCTTTTGTCATTTCAAAGCAGCATTAGTTACATTTCAATGTATTTCCATTGAAAGAGCACTTTAATGATGTGAAAGAGCTTCTACAGTGGGAACAAAAGGTTAGAAGGTTGTGTTTGCAGGAAGAATACTGAAGAATACTGTGTCCAGTTACCTGTTGGTGATGGTTCAGACTGAAGGTGTGAATTGAACCCCCTATATAAACAGCTGAAGTCTGCAGTGCCAGGAGAGTAGAGAGCATAAAGTGTGTTCACCACTGTGACCTGTTTAGTTGAAGTTTATGATTTGAGATCTGTGAGCACTGTAAATAAAACTGTTCACCTCTTAAACAAGAATTCTGCTGAGTCTGCCATCTTTGTTTGACCCTTGAGCTAGACTTTCCCAGAGTATACCCACAAAGTGAGTTTGACTGTCACCACAGTTATTATATTATTAGTTCATGAGTGTCACAGTATTTGATTTAAGCGTCTCACATTTATGTCACATGAAGATCAATATTTATTAATGATGTTCAGAGCAGACATAATACGAATGTAACTTAAAACAAGTCTGAATGTGTAGACATGTCTTCTGGGTTGTATGTTCATTGAATCTAAAGAAAATCAGCTCTGCTTTTTCATATTTCATCTCTCCTGCTGTGTGATATGAGGAATGGCCGCCCATCACCGTGTGTGTGACGACTTATGACTCAGTGTTTCCTATCAATCATCACCAAGGTCGGCCAAGTGTCGACGCTGGTGAACACAGTCTGATGCACCCATGTGGGAGCTGAGCTGGAAAGCAGCATTTCACATCAGACGAATGGCTGCGATAGTTTACCTTGATGCACAGCCTCGTCAGTCGGCTGCTTTAGGTAACTGGAGCGTCTGCAACAACTTTCAACATCTATACATCCAGGTACCACAAACTGTGTTGCCATAGATAGTATATACTAACAAACAAGGCACAGGATTAAAAACTTTGTAAAGTCTGCATTTACATTTAAAGTGATCACTGCTCAAAGATCTGCTGAAGCCTGAGAGTGTTTGAAAACACTCTCGCTCTCTGAAAGCAAAGAAACGAATTTAGTCAAAGGTTTGGCTCATTTATTAAAAGTGCAAAGTTAAAATATTTACAGGCAGATGGTTACATTCAATGCAATAAGCTAGCATTTATTGAAATTGAAGTGAGAAGGTTTTGCATTATTCATCTGAATCTTCAAAGAAGCTGAAACTGTTGAGTAAGAAGTAAAATTATTAACCTCTGGCAACATGGAAGAAAATGGAAATACTAGTAGTACTAGTATACTGTACTGAAGAATTGTAAGTGTATGTACTCAGTTTGTTTGTATATGTTGTTGAATATATGAATATATTGATGAATATGTGAATTGCTATATATTGTTAAATATTTAAATTTGTATATATTGATGAGGGCCTCATTGGCCTTTTCAACAAATCATCTCTGGTTTCTGTCAAGTAAGAAAAAAAGAATATTGGACGACCTCAATGAGCAAAGTTGTGTTTCCACTTCAAACCATGACATGAGCGTAAACCTTTACATGTTTATTTATCGCCACCTGCTGGTGGATGTGTGAACATTCTGACAGCATCACAGCAGCTCCCCTCAGTGGAGAACAGAAGCTTGACTGCACTGATGGCTGCTGTGGTGACATAAACTCTGAATATAAATAGAATAATAACATAACCTAAGCTCTCTCATCAATCTGATCCATCTTATTCACACTTAATGTGAAGAACAACATCTTCCAGTATCACCTACACACTTAACTCTGCCATCATCATCCAGAGACAAAGAAGTCGATACAAATATTAATGAAAATCGCAGTTATCTTCAGTCATTATCACAGATATCATTTTAACAAGCAGCGGCGCCTGATGAGCCTTGGGCCTTTATCAGTTCATTGTAAAAATTATATTCACACTGCTTGATTTAGTTTTGTTCTATTCTGGTTTGCACTACAATTACACACTGCAGTCCTTTTTGACTGTGTACTTACTGTTATGGAAGTTTACTGGAAGCTGGTGAAAGGAGAACAGCAGCTGATGTCTAATGCAGAAGAGTTTACTGTAGCCTTGATGCATCAAGGAGACCAGAAGGTGCAACAATATACAAACACTAACAGAGTAACATGAGCCACCATCACCCCCAAGTCTGAAGATGTCTCACACAGCATCCCCATATATCTTCCTTTACCTGCATCACCCACTCCAACAGCACATCCATTAATGGCTAGAATCGGTCTCACTCTCTATGTTACATGTAGGTGTTTGCATCCTATTGGATTCCTAAACCACATTGTGTCCTTACGTCTTGCCACTGGTGTAATATGCAAAAGAGTTGAAGTTGGTGCCTCTCTGTCTGGGGCATCTGAGTTAGATATGAAAGTCCCTGAGCGTAGACACTGCAATGTACTGTTGGTTGGTCCTTTATCTATAACCTGACCTTGGGTACTGCTTAGAGAGAGGAGGGAGTATCTGTGGAATTAGCCGGACACTCTTATCTTAATGGTGTCCCGATATATTGTAATATACACTATATATACATAATATATAGTGGCATATACAGTAATGTGTGAGGATAGTCAAAAATTCCTCAACACTTATATGTTGAATAATAGCTATGTCACTTGAGTATTTAAATGTTTTGTTACTTATACATGGTGTACTTATACATCAATGTTTACACCAGGGATCAGAGAGAAACAGCATTTCAATCCTATCTATGTCCTGTGCGTATGTTAGAATTGACAATAAAGTTGACTCTGACTTTTGATTGAGTCGGCTGATATACACATTTAGATAGTGTTTATTTTTCTGTTATTGTAAGTTACAGAGTGGATCGCCTTTTGCAAAACATTTGAAACTGTTAAAATACTATAAGCAAACATTGTTGTATATTTTAATGATGATGAGACACAAAATGTTTGAATTTCATTATACCCACAGTGGTTCCGTGTCTCAGCAGGCTTAGAGGAGACCCCTGTGACCCCCAGCACCACTTCAGTGCACAATTAACTGTGTGAATGGGACGATACTCCATACACCACCTATAATGTCTTTAAAGTCTTTGACGTTTTAATGCACAATAGCAGACAGTATCTAAAATGACATATTGACCATGTGGAGGCAGCAGGATCCACTCAACAAGTGGATTATATTTTAGAAGACACCTTCATATGCTTTTGGGTTTTTGTACTCATACATATTAAATACTTTAATTTGATGTGTAGTGTTTCTACATTATTTTAATTCCAGATGCCAAACTTTGTCCCAGATCTTACATAAAAGGGGCTTTCCATGCTGCTAAAGGTCAAAGTGGAATGTACATATGATTTATTATATCAGGCATATTTAATATGTAATGTTATTGTTGTTTCTTTTCTTTTAATCAATACCTTTGGAATACAAGGATCAAAACAGATTTGTCACTTTGCCCGTAACTTTGATGGTGTGGAGGCTCCGTCTCAAGGCCTTCAGTGACTCAACTCGTTTGGACAAGATGAGAGGTGAGACCAACAGCTGAGTTTTATGGTTTTATGGAAACTCACAGCACAGCTCAGCAGCACGGCCCACTAACAGTGCTGTACTACAGGGTGGCCCACGCAGTAACAAGAGGGCAAACAGTTTGACCCCCTGTGTACTGTGCCAGCATGGCAGATAGGAGGCATCAACTCGGCCACCCTGCAAGCCAATGATTGACAGTAACATCACAAAAAAATCCCATAAAGAAAACCGCAGTTTACATTTAAGACAATACGAGACAGGTATACGCTGTGTTGTGGAGGGAGAAGAGAGAGAATACGAGTTTGAAATTGTTTTGCTTGATATTAAAATTATATATATTATTGTTCTATAAAAAAAATTACATAATGATATACACAAGTATTTTGATTAGCGTGTGGGTGGAGGTGCAATGAAAGCAGCATTCCAAAGGTTAAATGTAAGCCTCAGCTGATCTCTCCACCATATGTGGGTCTCCTGAAGTCACACAGGGTAAAACCGCTGCATCAAACCAAATGGGCTAGTCAATAAATGACCAGGCCAATTGTAAAATTTGGTACTTTAAGCTGCTTCCTTATTGGCTACCCCCCTGTGCGCTACACTCTGCTGGAGTCTGTGCTCCCACTTGTCTCCATAGATTGGGTCATATAACTTTGTACATGTTATGTAAAAAAACATAATATTACTGGTCTTTACTGCACAGGAGCTGAGAGTGTGGGCGCCAGCACTAACAGCTAGTTATCAGTAAGCTAACTGTTTATAGATATTTGATCAATAATCCCTTATCAACTTGCTTTTATACCTGCAAAATAATAAGTAGCTAATAATCACTCCTGCAGTACTGCAGTTATATAATATAGATTGAAATTGTGATTTACTACTGCCAAAGGGCAATATCACAACAAGGAAAGCATTTGTCGTCCGTATTAACTTTAAAGAGACACTGAAGATTTGAATGTGGTCAATGGAATGTAGCTCTGCTCTGTACTTTTACTTTTTAGTTCTCAGAAGGCGAGGGAAACATTTTTAAATGATTGCTTAACTCAACTTTAACTTTCAATGGGCTCTTCTCTTCTCTGTGGATGTGTTATTTGGGGTTTGTTACTTTTGAAGGCTCGAATACAGAACAGTTATGCAACTGATTGCTTAGTTTTGTGCCAAAAGGATTTAGTTGATTATAAAAAATAGGACACATAATGTATGAAGTGCATGAAACTGTTACCATGTGATATTATGTATGTTTGTAAAAAGAGATGGCAAATATGAACTTAAAGGCTTGTTTATGTTTTAAAAATTTTGGGCAATGACTAATATAAAAAAGAATGGTTTCTAATAACAGTGGTGAATCTCTACAGTCTTGAAGATGATTAGAAGCATGTGTTTTAATAATAGAGTCATTGAAAAATATAAACCACTTGAGAAATGATCAT